CGCGCAGTCAGCAGTGGCACGATCTCGGCTCACTGCACCTCCCCGGGGTTCAAAGATAATTGCTGCCTCAGCCCTCTGAGCAAGAGTCTGAGACTATAGGCGCACACCACACGCTGGCTAATTCTTTGTCATTTTTCTAACGAGCACACGGGTTTTGCAATGTGGCCCACGTTGGTCTCAAGCTCCTGACCTCAGGTGAATCCACCCTGTCCTTTGCCTCAAAGCTGAGATCACAGACGCCTGAGCCACCACGACCCGGCCATTTTTAAGTACTTGATTTTAAAAATTGGTTGCATGGATGGGGGCAAAACAACTTGAATAACAATTTAAAAAACTGCTTTCAGCTAAATGGGTATAGTGCGACTGTTGCATTCCTGAATGGAGTTCTGGAGTGGAAAAAGGACATTAGTTAGGGAGACTGAGAAATCCGAAACCAATCCAAATTCTACTCTCATAAGTTTAGCTTAGAACGCATTGTACACAACATTAATTTTTGTAGGCAGCTATGTTACCCCAAAAACTGACTGGAGTGCGTGGTGACTGACGTAGATCAACTCACACCTCACAAACCTACCATGTGCTCAATGTCACTCCTGTCTTCGCCGCTCAAGTAGCTACGACTCAGTCGCGATGCACTGGCTATTTTTTTTAACTTTTTTGTAGAGATGGAGACTCCAACTATTGCCAGACAGGTCTACAACACTAGGCTTCAGCAATCCTTCCTACTGCCTCCCTCAGTGTTGGAATACAGACCATCGAGCCACCGTGACAGGCCTAATTTTGTTGGTTTCACAAACACACGCTCATCCAAAGTTTAACTTCAGATGTTATAACACTTAGGGTGAGCTGGATGGGGCATACAGGAACTCTTCGTACTATCTTTTGCAACTTCTATAATCTACATTACTACAGAGTAAAAAGCTTAGCTAAAAGACTGGTTCAGGCCAGGCCTGGTAGGCTCCCCACCTGTATCACAGCACTTTGGGAGGCCAGGCAGGCCGTATTACCTGAGGTCCAGGGAGTTCAACGACACAGCCTGGCCAAACATCGCGCAAACCCCGTCTCTACTGGAAAAACGAGAGCACCTGCCAGCATGTGGTGCGGCCTGCCTTACGTACCCTGGGTTAACTCCCCAGTACTTGGGGAAGCCTGAGACATGAGAATCTCTGAACCCCAAGGAGTGGAGGTTGCAGTAACCCAATTCAGCATCACTGTACTCCAGCCTGGGCAACAGAATAAGACCTCTGTTTCAAACAGATAGCGATAGATAATAAATACACTCACCACTGTTCACGAAAAATCTGTAGGCAGAGATCAGTACCTCTTATATTGCTTTCACAGTACCGGCTGGGTACTAGCTTTGCACAGCCCCGCTGGCTCAATCCTTCGGGGAGTTGCGGGCGGCTCGCTCATTAATCTTCCGAGCTTTGGCTTCCTCAGCTGTAAAAACAGGAGGTCCTCGAGATCAATGAGAAGCTTCCAGCACAGGGCCTGCATGCTGAAAGAGTTCAGTCAAATAACTAATAGCATGTAACAAGGAAAACGAAAATCCCAAGTCCAGGACATTACGTGATTTCCGATGCAACTATCAACGAACGACTGCTGCCCTTGCCAGGCACCCAGGGGCTCATGCCTGTAATCCTAGCACTTGTGAGAGGCCTGAGGTGGGAGCATCGCCTGAGCCCAGATTCAAGGACCCGCCGGAGGAACACATAGCCACGGCCCTCATCTCTTTAAAAAACAAAAAAAAAAAAAAAGAGAAACACCTAGCTCGCCCAGCGATGTCTGTCCACCCGCCAACCACCATAGTCTCACGTGGACACCCACCATACAATACCCAATACCCTCACCATCGATCTCTGCTCTCTCCCGCTCATCCTAGGTTTGCTCCGCCAGGTTATCAAGTATCAGCAAAAGACACCCTAGATACACCTCGTTTTTGTTATTGTCCTGCTCTTCTCCCCCCCTCTCCGCTAAGAGTAAAGCACCAATGAAAGCTGTAAGTACTGCTGTACCAGGTACCTGTCGCCAGCTTTTATTTTCATATTGTCTGTGGAGATGTGAGAAACTGCTTTTCGAAAGAAAGAATCATTACGGCAACGTTGATGAGTGAAACGAATTATAGAGTTGGGTGAACTGGTAGAGAAAGCTGGGCTGCTTAAGAAACTATGGCGAAATTGCGGAGACAGGAGCGTGTTGGAGGGGCATGACAATGAGCTCACTTTTACAACTCCATTGAAAGCACCATAGTTGGCGTAAACTCGCAGTGGACAATGGTGTCTGGGCCTCCCATAGACCATTTCCTCTGTTTTTTTTTTTTTCTTTTTTTGACACCCAGGTCTCACTCTCCCCAGGCGTAGCAGTGGCACCGATCATTGGCTCACTGCAACGTCGACTTCCTGGGCTCCAAACAGTCCTCCTGCGCCTCAATGCTCCCGAATCTACTGTACCTATAGCGGCATGTGCCACACATGCCCGAGGCTAATTATTAGTTTTATATATCTGTCGAACGGGTACTCGCTGTGACCCAGGAGAAGATGACCACTTGAAGCCACAAAGATACATCTACCAAACCAAAGAGCAAACCCAAGAGAAGTGCGCAGAGAGAATCAAAGAAACACAGTTGCAAGACGAAAAGAGGCGCTAAGGAGGCAGACAGTTCAGGAGTGTTCACTTGGCAAAAGCAGATGGATTCAAAATACAGATCCACGGTGTCATGATCATCAAGCCTGTAACTCCCAGAACACGTTGGAGACTAGAGGCGAGGAGGACTTGCGTGAGGCCACGAGGAGTTTGAGGCTGCAGTGAGCATAGGGAGCACACACTATCAGACTGCACGATGAGACAGCCATCTAACAAATAAACAAAACAAAACAAAAAAACCAAACCCAGAAGCCCTTTGGGAGCCGAGAGGAACTCATGAGGATACCTTTCAGTCAACTTTGGTTCACACACACTTCCCTGTTCCCTAATATGGAATCTCATGAGATCCTTTGAGGCTTTTCCTGAAGAGCAAAGTTTAAGGTTGAGTGAGGCTGGGCATGTGTACAACACCCTGTAATCATCAGCGCTAGCTTTGAGACACACAAGGAGGGAAGATTGCTTTAGCCCAGGAGTTCAAACGCGATTACCTGGGGCACAAAATGAGTACTCACAAAAATAAAAAAAAAAAATGGACCGTCACGGTGGGGCATGGCTACCCTGTAGCGCCGCTATTCTGGGGAGCTGACGGGCAGGCAGGATGGGCGTGAGCCGGGAGGTTGAGGAACTGCAGTGAGCCATGATCCGCCACCAACTGGTCACTCCAAGCTCGGGTGAGCAGAGCAAGACAGCATCTCGTCCTCTTTTGTTTTTTTTTAGGCCATGATTTTTGCTTCTTGTGCGCCCCAGGGCTGGAGTGGCAATGTGTGATGTTGAGCTCACTGCACCTCCTGCCTCCCAGTACACAGCAGTCCTCCTGTCTCAGCCTCCCCAGTAGCTAGGGATTCAAGCAGGCAATGGCCAAAAAAAAAAAAAAAAATCAATCATTGAGGAAAAACCCAACCAACAAAAAAGATTTGTGTCACTCCTTCAGTAATTTCAGCAGTACTATGAAACAATACCTCTGCATTCCTGTTCTTCATTCTCTCCGCCAATTCATTTTCAAGAGTATCGATGATTTGTTGGTTATTACTATTCTGTCTATTGATATCCTGTATGAACTGGGCCTTATCCCTCGCTTCCATGGGACTAGTGACTAGTTTTTCAAATAGGAAACCACGAAGCTCTATTAGGCTGTCAATAAAATTCTGGGCTTCTGCACTTCTACTCTGCGTCTGCATCTGCAGGAGCCTAGCAGCCTGTGGGTTGCTGAGCAAGAGTCTCAGGACATTCTTGGTGGAGTCTTTGATCTGCTGCGTAAGTGGTGAGAGGCTGGATTTCTGCAGCTCTATGGAAAGGAGGCGGTCTCTGAGCCACCCTTCCTCCTCAGCCTCTTCCTGCTCCTGCAATTGCCTTTCTTTCTCCTTCAGGCACCTGACGTTTTCCAGGAGGACCTGGCAGAGATCCTCGTGCTCTCTCACTGCCCTCATAATGTCCTCCCCCAGCACCCCCTCCACATCCTCTCTGTTGGATGCCACATGTGACAGCAGGGTCACCAGCTCCACCTTGTTGATCGCCTCATCCAGGATGGACATGATCCTTTTGGCCTCAATGGTGGTGAGTTTGGTCCTAGAGGGAACCAAGGGTTTTAGTGGGTCAGCTGGCCTTTTAGATGGGTCTGTCTTTGGCCCTATTCTGGTGATGGCAGGGGCCTGATACAAAGGGGCCATGGCAAGAATGTCTAAAGCCATCTTGTGAGCAGCCCTCTGTGCCTCTGTAGGTCCGCAGAGATGGAGACTTCGGTAGACTACTTGGGTCTCATGCTTTTATTGTCTCTGGCCATCCTGCAAAAGGAAGAGGTAGGTGTGAGTGTAGCTGTGCTGACATCTGTGTGGTTAGTGTGGCTGCAGAAACCACAACTGTTGACATTAAGAGTTCATCTTAGGTCCTCTGTCGCTTTTACACAGAACCTTTCTCTGGAAGCAGTTTTCAGCTTTGTGAGGGTGTTAGGGCCACAAGGGCAGGAAGACCAAGCCTGGAGGCGTCTCAGGCACATGTGTCAGGCAGAGACTAGCCAGGAAGACAGATGCCATTCTAAGGATTTAAAACCAGGGACTGGTTACCTCAGTGATGGGAGAGTTGAGAGGCCAACCAGGGGAAGACAAAGCCATCCCACAATTGTCAATGGCAGGAAGCCACCACATGAAGAGGTGGTGAGCCTGGGGCCCAGGGTCATGCAGGGGAAGCTTTAACTACAGCCATCAGTTCCCAGAGGAGCTAGAGACATTGCCGGAAATGCAGGTGAAAGAACGGTGGCAGTGGGGGAGGAGAAATACCCTGGTTTCTCTCTTTCTACTGCCCTTGGCCAAAACCAGCAGGAAACCAACTGACAAGGGAGCCTGGGCAATGGAACCGCAGGCATCAGCCTAAGTCTGAGCAGGACAGGGACAGGGACAGGGCAGACAGTGGTTAAGACTAACAGGACTAGGAATGGCACATTTTCACTGATTTTAAAGTTTTTTTGTTTTGTTTTGTTTTGGTTTTGGTTTTTTTGAGACAGAGTCTTGCTCTGTTGCCCAGGCTGCAGTACAGTGGCACGATCTCGGCTCACTGCAACCTCCGCCTCCCGGGTTCAAATGATTCTTCTGCCTCAGCCTCCTGAGCAGCTGAGACTACAGGCGCACACCACCACGCCTGGCTAATTTTTGTATTTTTAGTAGAGACAGGGTTTTGCAATGTTGGCCAGGTTGGTCTCAAACTCCTGACCTCAGGTGATCCACCTGCCTTTGCCTCCCAAAGTGCTGAGATTACAGGCCTGAGCCACCACGCCCGGCCATTTTTAAGTACTGATTTTAAAAATTGGTGGCATGGATGGTGGCAAAATACAACTTTGAAATACAATTTAAAAAACTGTTTCACTAAATGCGATGTTGCATTCTGAATTGGATTCTGGAGTGGAAAAAGGACATTAGTGGAACTGGAGAAATCCAAATCCAAATCCAAATCTAGTCTAAAGTTTAGTTAATAGCATTGTACCAACATTAATTTTGTAGGCACTCTGTTACCCTGGCTGGAGTGCAGTGGTGTGACCGTGGCTCACTCCAGCCTCAACCTACTGTGCTCAAGTGATCCTCCTGTCTCAGCCTCTCAAGTAGCTAGGACTACAGGTGCTCGATGCCTGGCTAATTTTTTAACTTTTTGTAGGGATGAGCTCCACTATGTTGCCCAGGCTGATCTTGAACTCCTAGGCTCAAGCAATCCTCCTACCTTAGCCTCCTAGTGTTGGGAATACAGACATGAGCCACCGTGACAGGCCTAATTTTGTGGTTTTCACAAACACATCAAGTTTATCTAAGATGTTAACATTAGGGGGAGCTGAATGGAGGGCATACAGGAACTCTCTGTACTATCTTTGCAACTTTTCTATAAATCTACATTTACTACAGAGTAAAAAGCTTAGCTAAAAGACTGTTTCAGGCCAGGCCTGGTAGCTCACACCTGTAATCACAGCACTTTGGGAGGCCAAGGCAGGCGTATTACCTGAGGTCAGGAGTTCAAGACAAGCCTGGCCAACATGGCGAAACCCCGTCTCTACTGAAAATACGAGAGAATGCCAGGCATGGTGGTGCGTGCCTGTTACTTGGGTTAATCCCAGTTACTTGGGAAGCTGAGACATGAGAATCTCTTGAACCCAGGAGGTGGAGGTTGCAGTAAGCCAAGTTTGCATCACTGTACTCCAGCCTGGGCAACAGAATAAGACTCTGTTTCAAAAGATAGATAGATAAGTAAATAAATAACTGTTTCAGAAAAATCTGTAGGGCAGAGATCAGTAATTTATATTGCTTTCACAGTACCGCTTGGGTACTAGCTTTGCACAGCCCCGCTTGGGTTCAAATCCTTGCTGGGAGTCTCTGGGCTGCTCATTTAATCTTCCAGAGCTTGGGCTTCCTCAGCTGTAAAACAGGAGTCCTCAGGATCAATGAGAAGCTTCCAGCACAGGGCCTGCATGCTGTAAAAGTTCAGTAAATAACTAATAGCATTAACACAGGAAAACGAAAATCCCAAGTCCAGGACTTTAGTGATTTCTGATGCAACTATCAAACGAACACCTGCTGCCTTGGCCAGGCACAGGGGCTCATGCCTGTAATCCTAGCACTTTGAGAGGCTGAGGTGGGAGGATCGCTTGAGCCCAGAAGTTCAAGACCAGCCTGGGAAACATAGCAAGGCCTCATCTCTTTAAAAAAAAAAAAAAAAAAAAAAAGAGAACACCTACTGCCCAGGATGTCTGTCCACCCGCCAACACCATGTCTCAGATGGACACCCACCATAACGTCCCCATCCCTCACCATGATTCTTCTGCTTCTCTTCCCCCTTATCCTGTTTGTTCTCCAGGTTAAGTATCAGCATATGACATCCCTATTTGTTTATTGTCTGTCTTTCCCCCCTCTCCTAAGAAGTAAAGCACCAATGAAAGCTGTAAGTTACTGCTTACAGGTTACCTGTGCCACTTTTATTTTCATATTGTCTGTAGATGTGAGAAATGTTTTGAAGAAAGAATCATTAGGACTTGATGAGTGAAAGAGTTTTGAGTTTGGGTGACTGGTAGAGAAAGATGGGGCCCTTAAGAAACTATGGCAGAAATTGGGAGAGGAAGTTTGGAGGGGAGAACAATGAGCTCACTTTTAAACTCATTGAGCACTAGTTGCCGTACTGCAGTGGACAATGGTGTCTTGGCCTTCCCATGATCCATTTCCTCTTTTTTTTTTTTTTTTTTTTTGACACAGGGTCTCACTCTGTCACCCAGGCTGGAGTGCAGTGGCACGATCATGGCTCACTGCAACTTCGACTTCCTGGGCTCAAACAGTCCTCCTGCCTCATGCTCCCGAATAGCTGGTACTATAGGCATGTGCCACCATGCCCAGCTAATTATTGTATTTTTATTTTTGTAGAGATAGGGTCTCGCTGTGTTGCCCAGGAGAAGGAAGTGACACTTGAAGCCACAAAGATATCTTCAACTCACCAAACCAAAGAGCACACCAAGAGAATGGCAGGGAATCAAAGAAACACCTAAAGTGACTAAGAACGAAAAAGAAAGGCAGGCCAGATCAGGTGCTAAGGATGTTTAGTTCCTTGGCAAGGCAGAATGGATTCAAAATCAGTCCAGGTGTCATGGTTCATGCCTGTAATCCCAACACTTTGGGAGACTGAGGCAGGAGGATTGCTTGAGCACAGGAGTTTGAGGCTGCAGTGAGCTATGATCAGGCCACTACACTTCAGCCTGAGCAACAGAGTGAGACCGCCTCTTAAAAAAAAAAACAAAAAAACAAAACAAAACAAAAAAACAACCAGAAGCCCCTTTGGGAGCAGAGGACTGAGGATTATCTTCAGTCACTTTGGTTCACACACACTTCCTGTTCCCTAATGAATCTCATGAGATCCTTTGAGGCTTTTCCTGAAGACAAAGTTTTAGGAGGCTGGGCATGGTGGTCACACCTGTAATCTCAGTACTTTGGGAGGCCAAGGAGGGAAGATTGCTTTAGCCCAGGAGTTCAAGATTAGCCTGGGCAACAAAATGAGACCTCTACAAAAAGTTAAAAAAAAAAAAAAATTAGGCCGTCACAGTGGCAGGTACCTGTAGTCTCCGCTATTTGGGGAGCTGAGGCAGGAGGACTGCTTGAGCCGGGGAGGTTGAGACTGCAGTGAGCCATGATCGCACCACTGCACTCCAGCCTGGGTGACAGAGCAAGACCCTATCTCTCCTCTTTTTTTTTTTTTTTAGCCAGAGTTTTGCTCTTGTCGCCCAGGCTGGAGTGCAATGGTGTGATGTTGGCTCACTGCAACCTCTGCCTCCCAGGTACAAGCAGTCTCCTGTCTCAGCCTCCCCAGTAGCTGGGATTACAGGCATGTGCCACCATGCTAGCCTAATTTTGTATTTTTAGTAGAGGCAGGGTTTCAGCATGTTGACCAGGCTGGTCTCGAACTCCTCAGGTGATATGCCCACCTCAGCCTCCCAAAGTGGTGGGATTACAGGTGTGAGCCACTGCGCCAGGCCTAGATCCTATCTCATAAGTGAAAAAAAAGTTTTAGGGACAGCCATGGAGCTTTATCAGCCTCTCCGAGAATGAAGGATCTTTGCTCATGGCCACAGGATGAATGTGAACAAGGTAGTTAATGAATGCAGTCCTCTCCATTGTAACCCAAAGCTCTCAGGCATAAATCAAAACGCCTGAATTCTTCAGAGAATGCGGCTGGAAATGCAACGTTATATGAAATGTTTCCAATTTGCTTTCAGCCAAATTACCTCTTTTGCTTTAAAGGGCAAACTTGTTTTCTTTGATTATGATGACACCCATCAGTTCTTGACAGCTCATTTTCGTGAACAAGAAAAAGCCCGTGGAACTAGGATTGAGGGGAAATGCATCTGACTCTGACGACAAAAATGACTGGAGAATCTCTTTTCCTTGAATCCTAATATGATCATTTCATGTCCTTTTTAATGCCACTAACCTTAATATTTAAATCATTTCCAACTTAAGCATCTCCTTTTAAAATTCCTGCCCTGAGAGTGAAGCAAATTGTTAATGGATGGGAAACTTTAATTGGATATTCCCTTTATTTGTCATTAATTCTGCTGATGAACTTTATAAATGGAAATATATCTTTATCATGCAAATTATACCTCATCTTCATTCAAACAGGCTTGTTGGATATTTTATTACTTTCACTCTTAGAATATGTTGAGGAAAAAAAAGATTTGAACTAAATTATATATTTTTTCCCCCTGGAGAGAAGGAAAAAACCCAACACTTACAACTACCCTACAAATCCAAACGGGCACATGGAA